TTTGCTTTAATTTTAGCTCAATGTTTCATATTTTCTCTTCATTTAGCCACATGCAGTCTTTTGACATAGAGATGAAATTTGCGGTTCTGGAATTCACAACGGGGAGGTTAAAGAAGGACACCCGAGCAGGATAACTGATTTGGTTTTGTACAGTTTTGGAGCTGTGTTATAATTTCTTTCGTTTGCCGTTTCTTTAACACATCCATTTGAAGTACCCTTGAAAGTGTACATTGAGTAGTGAGGGCATACCAAATAGGCTATAAGATACGACGTGACGTTTGAGCATCGTGTGCAGAGGGCAAATAGGCTATAAGATACGGCGTGACGTTTGAGCATCGTGTGCAGAGGGCAAAATGAGTTTGAGCCTCGGAAAAGAGAAGAAAAAAAATTGGTTATATGACATAGCTTCCTGAAAGACAGGAACCCTACACTCCCATAGGAGTGACAGTCTTGTTGGAAATAATCAGTGTAAACTGTGAGCGCAGGAGCTTTAATAAGCCATGATTCATTTTGACTGGAGTGGGAATGATGTACAGTTTTTAAATGAACAGAGATAAGGGTTCTGTAGGGCCTACTGTCAGCTGTATTATATCATAAAAGCTTGTGGCCCGTGTTTGCCATTTCCTTTTCGATCTCAATTAAAGTTTTGTTCTGCTCTTTATGAAATTCATCTGCAATCGTAGCAGCCCAGCGTTCAGATTCTTGTGAACGGTTTGATTATCTGTGGTTGGAGATTCTGTATAAATACAAGATAAATTATTATTTTACCGGTATCTTCATGTTATTCTGTTTGTTGACCACTGACCTCTGGTTTGTGACTGACATTTGCTGTTTGAAGCTGAAAACTACGCATGCTTTCTGCCTGTTCATCAAAATTGCCAGTGAAATGCACTCCATGATAAACACCCACTCGAAAGCTGTTTATGACTGTTATTGAAGTGAAATGCATTCCATGATAAACACCCACTTGAAAGCTATTTATGACTGTTATTGATGAGTTTATCACAGGGATAGCAATATCGGCTTAGTTGCACACATTTCTGTTGGGGTTTTTTTCTGTCTCTCTTGTTTCTATCCCCTCATCCGCGCCCACACATACACACATACTCTCACAGATTCACGATAACTATCTATCCATCTTTGTCTACATCGTCTGTCACCGCTGCTTTCATATTCATTTATCCGGCAGTACCTAAAACGGGCACGACTGACACATGCCTTGGGGCGTCATGCAGAACCAGAAGAAGTAGCAGACGTCATTGCATTCCTGGCGTCTGACCAAGCAACGTTCATCACTGGTGCCAGTATACCCGTGGACGGGGGACGACATGCTCTGTGTCCTAGTAGTCTACCCCGTGAGCAGGGTGGAGTGTCTGCCATGGCAATGAAAGATGTCTAATTCCTAGTTTGTACGAGTAGAGTAAAGGGTAAAAGTAAATTTGACGCCCCATTCTGGAAATACATGAAAAAAGAGTCTTTTACGCGTGACGTCACACCAACCCAAATGTGACTCCGCTGAATGTGGAGATCCTGAATGTTTGTATGGACAATAAATACGGTCTGTGTGGAGGGCCCAGGTTTACTTTTACCGAAAAATAACTGAGATGTCATGAGACTAACGGTGTGATGTGCTGATGTTTATGTGTTGTTTTCTATTGTTATTGTATAAGATTTATAGTTGTAATGTAAGATATCGCAGTGAAGAGAAAGACCGTGTTTAAAATGTTGGTGTGCTTAATTAAGAGGTGATGGTAATGAACGATAATATGCAGGGTCTAAACAAAACCCACAGTAGGAGATCACTACCTTTTTTTTTACTTATACATCTCATGGAAAGTTAGAGCTCCCCCATTACGTCCACCATCTTTTGTAGTACAGCTCCATTTTATTATCATTTTTAGTTCAGTATCTCGGCTAATATATTTAAGGTTTTTACATTTTTATCAATTCCCAATCAAGAGACAAATATATTTTGCATTCAACTGTCCATTTTTTGCCTTTTATTATTTCCATACTCTGCTCTCAGGTATAAGTGCAATAGTGAGTGTTAATAAAAATCGTTTCAGTATCGAAAAACTCATGAAAACCCATAATATCATTGCATACTGAACGAGGTATTTTTATACTATGCTTTTATATAAATGACCGATTCACTGTCCTATATAGAGCCTATCCTTTCTGAAGTGGAGATACTAGCCTAATGGCTTCTATCTTACCAACTGGGAGTAAATTTCCTCCCACTTCCTTTCCCTGCTTCCCATGGAGCATGGAGACAGGGCTTCGGCCGTCACCAAGGAAAATTTCACAAATTCCTACCAAGCTGAAAATGTTTACTTCGCCCGGCGCACTCATATAACCTTATGCAGTTGTGAGCGCCGTAAAACAGTTACAAACAAAAAATATATTAATATTAATAAAATAAGATTGATTGAATAGAAAAGAATATATAAGATCTATTGCTGTTTCTGAGGTTCAAGGATTAGCATGCAGCTCTGACGATACATTACAAGGCTTCTTACTTGTTTTGCTAAAAGGGAACAAATAACTGAAAAACCATAAGATTTACCATTGTTAAATTTTTAGAATACAGCTTCCTGTCCTAAACGATACTTATTGAGCACACATGACTGCACATATGGATGGTCCTCAGTTCAGTTCCATGATTGTTTTGTACTGAGATATTCGGGGTTTTGTTTTTAAAGCCTCTGGTACTAATACTCATTGTGTCAACGCTTATTACATCGTCATTGTCAAAAATATGCCAAGTTTTCTGAAATCAGGATACTGTAAACTTGTATTTTTCTGTATGTGTTGGAGAAAAGATAGTTTTACGTAATTCTAAGGCGTATTACAGGTATTTCTAGACGAACCCCTGTTCAAATTGTATTCTTTTTGTATGATATATTTAAAAAGCCCAACTAATGAATCGTTTTCTTTGATTTGCCTATAAACATTTTATGTTTAAAAACAAAATGTTATACAAACTCCAAAAGAGAGCTGAATCTAATGTAGTATTCTTGGTAGGCTATAGCCCAGCCAATGAAAATGAATCCCAAGGATGATCATTTTTTTCTACTGTCAAGTAAGATTTTCTTCTTTGTTTTGTGCATTTTTAAAATTTTGAGTTACTGGAAAGATTTTATGGACTCCTGTCTTTGACTTACGTATGCCTTTTTTAATCGTTGTTCTGTGTGTGCTCTTGGATCATAAAAATAAACCCAGTTCAAGGCAGGTTTTGTTTAATTGTTCTGTCTGGCGGTGTTGCTCTATTTTCGAATCTATTCAGCTGTAATATTTTATTCTGGATTAAATTTTTGTGTTATTTGTTTGTCTATTACTTACTTTACGTTTGCATCCTCTGTTGCCGTTAAGCGTCGAGGGGAGATGCAGTTTTCTATGGTAGGCCAGCTCCGCAGCTCTTTCAGTTGGGATGTTATGTTTTCTTAGGGTTTCCTTGACACCCTCGATCCACCTTTTGCGTGGCTTTCCTCTTCCTTTACAGCCTAAGTGCTTGGTGTTGTTTGTTTATAAGACCTGAAATCAATGAGGCAAACTGTGTCTAATTCCCAATCCTCTTTTGATAATAATGCCTTGGATTTTCTTATGCTTTGGGTGATGTTACAATATTAAGAATGTTGGTTTTGCACTGTCCTGAAAAACAGGAAACTCGAACTTCTTGCTAGGGTGTTAATTTAATTTTACTCAAGAGTCCCCGATATTGATTACAGTACTCATTTTGAACATATCTAGCTTTTTTTTTTCCTTCAAACCCAACTCCAAAATTTCACTTCAAACCTTCCTTTTTCTGACGAAGTGTCTGAAACAAAGGTATGATATCGATTAGCTGGGCACTATTTGAAGTGCTGGTCTTTTGGTAAAAGAGAGAAATATGGAGAGAGAGAGAGAGAGAGAGAGAGAGAGAGAGAGAGAGAGAGAGAGAGAGAGAGAGAGAGACAGACAGACAGACAGACAGACAGACAGACAGACAGACAGACACACAGACACACAGACACACAGACACACAGACACACAGACACACAGACAGACACACAGACAGACACACAGACAGACACACAGACACACAGACACACACTCAGACACACAGACACACACTCAGACAGACAGATGAGTAGCTAATGTGGTAATACATAATATAGACACTTGAATGTAAGTCCATTTCTCAGACATCCCTCACAACTTCCCTCAAAAGTTGAAATTTGTAAGTGTTGTTATGATGGTTAAATTTACAGAAACAATTTCTGGGGAAAAAAACTACTATTTCAATGTCTTGTTTATTTAGTATAGGGTTTTACGGCGCTCGCGACTGCATAAGGTCATATGAGCGCGCGGGACACACCTAATACTTTTTCGTTGGTAGGAAATTTTGAATTTTGCCCGGGTGGCGGCCGAAGCCTACTCTTATCGATTTTAGACCACCAAGGGATCTTTAACGTGCGCAACTTGCACACGGGCCCTCCGAGATTTTTCGCCCTTGTCCGAGAAGGCTAGGGGTAGATCTTTCCTACCAGAAGATCAGGGGTGTGGTAGAAAGACAGCTGTAAGAAGGAGTCAAGGAGTAACAGTAGAAAGGCTGCAGAAAGAGTCAGGAGCCCAGAGGAGGGGGCAAGGGAGTTGAGGGGGTGGGGGCAGAAAGAGGAGACGAAAGCAGACGACAGAATATTGCTAGAGAGCAGGAAAGGAGGTGAAAGGAGACAATTTTAGAGAAGAAAATTTTTCGGTCGCTACCCGGATTCGAACCCGGGACCTTTGAATGAGAGGCCAACACCTTAACCTCTAGGCCACGAGAGCCCCCATTTCAATGTCTGTTATCTCGATTTTATATATATAATATATTATATACATTAAAAAAAAAAAAAAAAAAATTTCGGTGGGGGGGGACTCCAGACCTTTATTTAACCAAATAAAAATGACAATCATTTGTGTGTGTGTGTGTGTGTGTGTGTGTGTGTGCGTGCGTGCGTGCGTGCGTGCGTGCGTGTGTGGGTGCGTCCGTGCATGCGTGCGTGCGTGCGTGCGTGTGTGTGTGTGTGTGTGTGTGTGTGTGTGTGTGTGTGTGTGTGTGTGTGTGTGTGTGTGTGTGTGTGTGTCTGGAGAGAGGTCCCAGTTGTCCGCACAGGTATTTTTGAGCAATGGGATGAAAAGGCCAAAATCGTACCTGGTCAAAAATGTAGTTCCACCAGGAAACACTCGTTTAGTCATTTCTTAATAACATGTTGGAAGGATTTTATATTCTAAGTCTAAATGCGCTAGAGATTGGGATTTTCTCCAAACTTTGTTTTTACTCCCTGCGTTACAAAATGTGGCATATCTTTAAAACTACTAGAGATATTTGGAAAATTTAAAAGCCAACATGTTCAGAACTGGATTTGTCACAAGAATATCCCCATATTTTGATATATTTTAAAAATTCAACAACAGAGACCTTTCTCCAGGCACACACACACATTTATAGTAGCTTTAAACGTCATGTCAGAACTTTTTAAAAAAGGACATGATCATGAAAACATACTTATTTAGGCCTACAGACTATAATATACAGGCTCAACAAAGGCCAACTGGGCTGAAGTGGACATAACGATGTCTTTATAAAGGCCACACACTTCTTCTTTGCACCAGAATCTACACATGAATGATTTTTACTTTCTGCCTTTATTTTTCAAAGTGATCCTCTCAAATATTAAAAATAGACCTATTCAGTTTAAGGAATCGTTACCAGCCACATATTCATAGAAATGGCAAATTAGAGCGTAACCAGGCCGTCTGCAGGACCATTTAAAAGCTAAAAACAAAAAAAAAACAAAAAACACGAAAAACTATCCATGACATCTATGATGATTAGCTCGTCATAATAGCTCGTCAGTCAATGTCTGGCGATGACCAATAAATCCGCAGAGGAGAATATTTCTTCAGCGAAATAGAGGAGTAGAAGAATTAAAGGTTAAGATGACTTATGGCTTTTGCTGTGGCCGATGGGACCAATGAAATACATTGTAATTAACGAAAAGAAAGGGTCACTTTATTTAAAATTGTATGGTGTACTTTCCTCCATATTTCATGTCCTTCTCTTGAATGAGTTTAGAGTTTTAGGTTTTAAAATCAGGAAATTAACATTTTAAGAAAACGAGCAAAAACATCACAAAATAAGCATTGTATTGACTTACAATTAAAACAACTTTACAGAGCCATCTCTTAGAAATAGGACGTTGAGAGTACAGTTAATTTTCTATTCAGTATCCTTTAGCACATAATTTTCAAGGTAACTTTCTTAAAACCCCTGAAACATTGTTCGACCCAAATGGGGAGACTCCAAAACTTATGTGTGGCTTTAAACCATTAAACTAAACTAAGCATTAGACAAGAAACAAAAAGAGAAAACAAAACTCAAATAAGCATAGAAATAAGGCTGAGCTAAAGTTTAAATTTAGAGGAATTAAAATGTAAAACTGTGGGTGCTTTAGTGGAATAAGTAACATTTTGTCAGCCTTGACCTACTGCGTTTGCCCAACTGAAGCTGCAAGAAAATATTATCTTACTTGAGACTGTGGCTGAAACTTGATCAGCTCAACTGTCTTTCTTAAACATGCCTATGTAGGCTATGTAGTCTGTGTATATTAATATATATTTATATATATATATATAATACCAACATATTATAGTGTGCATAATATATACCTACTAACCCAAAAATTAAACTTTACCCTCGGGAAAGCCTATAATTCTCCACCAAAGTACACAATTCACACAAGAATTGACAGGAAGCAAGCTGAA